GATGATCGTATGGTTTTTATTCTCCAGTTTGTTAATATGGTGTATCACATTGATTGATTTGCATATATTGAAGAAACCTTACATCTCTGGGATAAATCCCACTTGATCATGGTGTATGATCCGTTTAATGTGTTGTTGTATTCTGTTTGCTACTATTTTGTTGAGGAATTTTGCACCTATATTCATCAGTGATATTGGTCTGTAACTTTCTTTTTTTGTAGTATCTTTGTCTGGTTTTGGTATCAGGGTGATGGGGGCCTCATAGAATGAGATTGGGAATTTTCCTTCCTCTGCAAATTTTTTGGAAGAGTTTGAGAATGATGGGTGTTAACTCTTCTCTAAATGTTTGATAGAATTCACCTGTGAAGCCATCTGGTCCTGGATTTTGTTTCTTGGACGATTTTTAATCACATTTTCAATTTCATTACTTGTGATTGTTCTGTTCATATTTTCTCTTTCTTCCTGGTTTAGTCTTGGAGGGTTATACCTTTCTAAGAACTTGTCCATTTCTTCCAGGTTGTCCATTTTATTGCCATAGACTTGCTTGTAGTAGTCTCTTAAGATGCTTTGTATTTCTGTGGTGTCTGTTGTAACTTCTCCTTTTTAGTTTCTAATTTTATTGATTTGAGTCCTGTCCCTCTTTTTCTTGATGAGTCTGGCTAATGGTTTATCAACATTTTTTATGTTCTCAAACAACCAGCTTTTAGTTTTATTGACCTTTGCTGTTGTTTTCTTTGTTTCTATTTCATTTATTTCGGCTCTGATCTTTATGATTTCTTTCCTTCTGCTATCTTTGGGTTTTGTTTGTTCTTCTTTCTCTAGTTCCTTTAGATGTAACCTTAGATTGTTTATTTGAGATTTTTCTTTTTTCTTGAGGTAGGCTTGTATAGCCATAAACTTCTCTCTTAGGACTGCTTTTGCTGCATCTCAAAAGTTTTGGATCATTGTGTTTTCATTGTCATTTGTCTCTAGGTGTTTTTTGACTTCCTCTTTGATTTCTTCAGTGATCTCTTGGTTATTTAGTAACGTATTGTTTGGCCTCCATGTATTTCTGTGTTTTACGTTTTTTTCCCTGTAATTGATTTCTAATCTCATAGCGTTATGGTTAGAAAAGATGCTTGATATGATTTATTTTTCTTAAATTTACTGAGGCTTGATTTGTGACCCAAGATGTGATCCCTCCTGTAGAATGTTCCATGCGCACTTGAGAAGAAAGTGTAATCTGCTGTTTTTGGATCGAATGTCCTATAAATATCAATTAAATCTATCTGGTCTATTGTGTCATTTAAAGCTTGTGTTTCCTTATTAATTTTCTGTTTGGATGATCTCTCCATTGGTGTAAGTGAATTGTTAAAGTCCCCCACTATTATTGTGTTACTGTTGATTTCCTCTTGTATAGCTGTTAGCAGTTGCCTTATGTATTGAGGTGCTCCGATGTTGGGTGCATGTATATTTATAATTGTTATATCTTCTTCTTGGATTGATCCCTTGATCATTACATAGTGTCCTTCCTTGTCTCTTGTAACATTCTTTATTTTAAAGTCTATTTTATCTGATATGAGTATTGCTACTCCAGCTTTCTTTTGATTTCCATTTGTGTGGAATATCTTCTTCCATCCCCTCACTTTCAGTCTGTGTATGTCCCTAGGTCTGAAGTGGGTCTCTTGTAGACAGCATATATATGGGTCTTTTTTTATATCCATTCAGCCAGTCTATGTCTTTTGGTTGGAGCATTTAATCCATTTACATTTAAGGTAATTATCGATATGTATGTTCCTATTACCATTTTCTTAGTGGTTTTGGGTTTGTTATTGTAGATCTTTTCCTTCTCTTGTGTTTCCTGCCTAGAGAAGTTCCTTTAGTATTTGTCGTAAAGCTGGTTTGGTGGTGCTGAATTCTCTTAGCTTTTGCTTTTTTGTAAAGGTTTTAATTTCTCCGTCATATCTGAATGAGATCCTTGCTGGGTAGAGTAATCTTGGTTGTAGGTTTTTCCCCTTCATCACTTTAAATATGTCCTGCCACTCCCTTCTGGCTTGCAGAGTTTCTGCTGAAAGATCAACTGTTAATGTTATGGGGATTCCCTTGTATGTTATTTGTTGTTTTTCCCTTGCTGCTTTTAATATTTCTTCTTTGTATTTAATTTTTGACAGTTTGAGTAATATGTGTCTTGCATGTTTCTCCTTGGATTTATCCTGTTGGGACTCCCTGTGCTTCCTGGACTTGATTAACTATTTCCTTTCCCATATTAGGGAAGTTTTCAACTATAATCTCTTCAAATATTTTCTCAGTCCCTTTCTTTTCCTCTTCTTCTTCTGGGACCCCTTTAAGTCGAATGTTCGTGTGTTTAATGTTGTCCCTGAGGTCTCTGAGACTGTCCTCAATTCTTTTCATTTTTTTTTCTTTATTCTGCTCTGCAGTAGTTATTTTCACTATTTTATCTTCCAGGTCACTTATCTGTTCTTCTCTGTCAGTTATTCTGCTATTGATCCCTTCTAGAGAATTTTAAATTTCATTTATTGTGTTGTTCATCACTGTTTGTTTGCTCTTTAGTTCTTCTAGGTCCTTGTTAAACATTTCTTGTATTTTCTCCATTCTATTTCCAAGATTTTGGATCATCTTTACTATCATTACTTTGAATTCTTTTTCAGGTAGACTGCCTATTTTCTCTTCATTTGTTTGCTCTGGTGGGTTTTTACCTTGCTCCTTCATCTGCTATGTGTTTTTCTGTCTTCTCATTTTGCTTAACTTACTGTGTTTGGGGTCTCCTTTTCACAGGCTGGAGGTTCATACTTCCTGTTGTTTTTGGTGTCTTCCCCCAGTGGCTAAGGTTGGGTCTTTGGGTTGTGTAGGCTTCCTGGTGGAGGGGACTAGTGCCTATGTTCTGGTGGATGAGGCTGGATCTTGTCTTTCTGGTGGGCAGGACCACGTCCGGTGGTGTGTTTTGGAGGGTCTGGGACCTTGTTATGATTTTAGGCAGTCTCTCTGCTAATGGGTGGGGTTGTGTTCCTATCTTGCTGGTTGTTTGGTTAGGGTGTCCAGCACTGTAGCTTGCTGGTTGTTGAGTGGAGCTGGGTCTTAGCATTGAGACGGAGATCTCTGGGAGAGTTTTCGCTGTTTGATGTTACATGGAGCCAGGAGGTCTCTGGTGGACCAATGTCCTGAACTCAGCTCTCCCACCTCAGAGGCACAGGCCTGACACCTGGGCAGAGCACCAAGACCCTGTCAGCCACCGGACTCAGAGAAAAGGGAGAAAAAAAGAAAGAAAGACAGAAAATAAATAAATAAAATAAAATGAAGTTATTAAAATAAAAAATAATTATTAAAACGTAATTAATAAAAGAAAGTAAAAAGAGAGCAATGAAACCAAAAAAGAAATCCACCAATGATACAAGTGCTAAAAACTATACTAAACAAACAAACAAGCAAAAAATAGACAGACAGAATCCTAGGACAAATGGTAAAAACAAAGCTATACCGACAAAAGCACAAAGAAGCATACATATACACACTCACAAAAAGAGAAGGAAAAAAATATTATATCTATATATTTAAAAAATGGAGGAAGAGAGCAACCAAATCAATAAACAAATCTACCAATTATAATAGGCCTAAATACTAAACTAAGATAAACATAAAACCAGAAACAAATTAGTTGCAGAAAGCAAACCCCAAGTCTGCAGCTGCTCCCAAAGTCCACCGCCTCAATTTTGAGATGATTCATTATCTATCCAGGTATTCCAGAGATGCAGGGTACATCAAGTTGATTGTGGAGATTTAAGATGCAGGGTACATCAAGTTGATTGTGGAGATTTAATCTGCTGCTCCTGAGGCTGCTGGGAGAGATTTCCCTTTCTCTTCTTTGTTCACACAGCTCCTGGGGTTCAGCTTTGGATTTGGCCCCGCCTCTGCCTGTAGGTCACCTGAGGGCATCTGTTCTTTGCTCAGACAGGACGGGGTTAAAGTAACAGCTGATTAGGGGGCTGTGGCTCACTCAGGCCAGAGGGAGGGAGGGGTATGGAATGCAGACCACGTAACGTTGCACCAGCCTGAGGCTTGCTGCGTGTTCTCCTGGTGAAGTTGTCCCTGGATCATGGGACCCTGGTGGTGGCGGGCTGCACAGGCTTCTGGGAGGGGAGATATAGATAGTGACCTGGGCTGGCACACAGGTTTCTTGGTGGCAGCAGCAGCAGCCTTAGCGTCTCATGCCCGTTTCTGGGGTCCACGCTGTTAGCCGTGGCTTGCGCCTGTCTCTGGAGCTCATTTAGGCGGTGCTCTGAATCCCGTCTCCTCACGCACCCCGAAACAATGGTCTCCTACCTCTTAGGCAGGTCCAGACCTTTTCCCGGACTCCCTCCCGGCTAGCCATGGTGCACTAGCCCCCTTCAGGCTGTGTTCACGCCGCCAACCCCAGTCCTCTCCCTGGGATCCAACCGAAGCCCGAGCCTCAGCTCCCAGCCCCCGCCCGCCCCGGCGGGTGAGCAGACAAGCCTCTCGGGCTGGTGAGTGCTGGTCGGCACCGATCCTCTGTGCGGGAATCTCTCCACTGTGCCCTCTGCACCCCTGTGGCTGTGCTCTCCTTTGTGGCTCCGAAGATTCCCCTCTGCCACCCGCAGTCTCCACCGCGAAGGGGCTTCTGGTGTGTGGAAACCTTTCCTCCTTCACGGCTCCCTCCCACTGGTGCAGGTCCCGTCCCTATTCTCTTGTCTCTGTTTTTTCTTTCTTATTTTGCCCTACCCAGGTACGTAGGGAGTTTCTTGCCTTTTGGGAGGTCTGAGGTCTTCTACCGGCGTTCAGTAGGTGTTCTGTAGGAGCTGTTCCACATGTAGACGTATTTCTGATGTATTTGTTGGGAGGAAGGTGATCTCCACGTCTTACTCTTTCTCCATCTTGAAGGTCTCCTCTCCATCACCAACCATTTTGATAGAACTTTCTGGGTGGCTTCCGCCTTAGCATCCAAGAATTCGAGGACTGAAGTATAATCATTTGCTTCTTCTTTTCAGACAGTTTTGAGACAGCTGTGCCATCCAATAGCCAGACAGTCTCAGAACCTGGAAAAAATGTCACACTCACCTGCCAGCCTCAAATGAAATGGCTGCTACAGGAAGTTACATGGGAGAAGATCCAGCCCCATCAGATTGACCTCTTAACTAGCTGCAACTTGTCCCAAGCAAGAAGTTACACTTCAAAGTACCCAAGACAGATACTGAGCAACTGCACCCAGGGAATGAGGAGGGCCTTCATCACCATGCCCCACATTATGACCTCTGACTCAGGACTCTACCGCTGTGGCTTCAAAGCCAGCACAGGAGAAACTGAAACCTTCGTGACGAAACTGATCATAACCGATGGTGAGTAGGTGACAGATGCCTTAATGTGTCAAAAATGGAAAAAGCCAGCCACTGTGGATTGGTTTATTTTGTCCTTTTCATGACTTTATTATTCAAAATATCTTTAATGATTGAATTTGGTAAGTTGTCAGTTATCGAATGTTAATGTTTATCTTGCTAATCCATCAATCACAGATTTAACAATAATAGATGTTTCCCATTTTTTTGATCTGCCACTTTCCTAAAATTAAAAAGAAAGATTCAGTCAGTCTGAAAACTACATGGTATCAACAGCCTATAAGTTTCAGCTGTATAATTTCTTTTTTTTTTCAGCTGTATAATTTTTAATTTTCCAATTACTTTAAAACTTTTTGATGGTGGTAACTAGGTTTTATAATCCTCGTGTATCCTCAGTAATAATAAGGTGTTAGATTGGTATTTGCTGAATCAGTGTTGAGTAAAGGGTAATAACTGTTTAATAATGTGGTTGCTACTTTGCCAGATCAGAGCTTTGGTTCCCTCAGTTTTTTCCAGAGCTGGGAGCAGGAACAGACTGGCCTTGAAGCTTTGAAACTGACCTTCAGGGCCTCTCACCTGAGCTGGCTCTTTCCAAGGCCCGGTACTTACTTTGTATTAGTTATTTGTCTCCTGTGTCATGATGAAGCCCTAAATTGTGTAAGCTTCAGGCTCCACAAAACCTGTGTGAGTGTAAGGAGAAGTGGTATTTCAGCGACTGATGGGCAGACACAGAGAGGCCTGTGTAGACCCGCATTCCAGTGGAGTGGGAGGAAGTCTGTCTCAGACTGCCAGCTCTGCTTCCAGGCAAGTTTTCTCACTGCAGAGGGACCTATCAGAGAAAATAATCTATATCTACTGATGACAGAAATTTTATTTCACTTTACTCTCACCCTCTTCTTCCCTCCCTCTTTTCCTTCCTCCCTTCCTTCCTTCCTTCCATCCTTCCATCTATCCATCTACCCATCCATCCATCTTTCCTTCTGCCTTTCTTCCATATGCTTCTAGCCAACTCATGTGCCTTGGCCTGTGTGTAGACTCTTAGAGCCAAGGCTTCCTAGGATGTGGCTGCCTGTTCATAGACTCTGCTTATACCGCAGGCTGAGATTCCCTCCTGCATCAGGAAGGAAGATGAGGAGGTTTTGTACGTAGAGCAGCCTCCACTGCTGCCACTGTAGCAGCTGTGTGTGCTAAGGAAGCCCTTTGCCAGAGGTTAGCAACTTTTGTACATAGTCACCTCTCACAGCATCAAAGCTTTCTCTACTCCTCTTAATGACAGAGGGAGCTTAGAACTTGATGAAAAAGAGGGTTGATGGAATATTTTGGGGAGAGATATTAAGAGGTTCTTCATGTTGCCTCCATTCCTTCAGAGACATTGAGAAAATATTTCTCACCTTTAAAAAAAAATACTCTGGCATTATAGAAGTGTTTTTAAAACCTGGCCAGAAAAAAAGAAAGAATAAAGGTAGTCGCTAATCTTCTCTCAGAGACCAAGGCAAAAAAAAGTTCTATTCAGAAAATGTCATAAAGAACCATTTTCAAACACTTCTGAAATAAAATCTTGTCCATTATATGTTGAAAAAGCTATTAAAAACACCTTAAATCATAGAGAAAATGGATTCTTGGAGGTATAATTATTTAACTCTTACTAATTAATAAAAATGTCTTTCAGTTACGCAAACATGGCTAAGTTCCTTGCACAAAGCTGTTTCTTTTCCTTGTACATAAGCTATAAACAGTGTCCAAAATGAAGGTGACAGTGTAATGGTCAGCATTGTTAGTGTTCAAGTGTTTTGAATTCTTGAAAAATGGCTTTTTGACATTCAACTGACAGGTTGAAAGAATATCAACTCGGCCCATTAGTAAAAAGTTATATTTGATAGAAGATGACAGCTGTTTACTGTATGTTTTGGTTTAATTCCTTTTTAAAATAATTATAAGTAAAGATTGAAGATAAAAAATCAGGTGGGAAGCAAAAATAGATCACTTGTGTTTCCCTGATGTGATTCGATTATTTCAAGTTTTGAAGCTGTTTGGTCAAAAATCAATGTAGGGGGTTTCCCTGGTGGCGCAGTGGTTGAGAGTCCGCCTGCCGATGCAGGGGACACGGGTTCGTGCCCCGGTCCAGGAAGATCCCACATGCCGCGGAGCGGCTAGGCCCGTGAGCCATGGCCGCTGAGCCTGCGCGTCCGGAGCCTGTGCTCCGCAACGGGAAAGGCCACAGCAGTGAGAGGCCCGCGTACCGAAAAAAAAAAAAAAAAAATCAATGTAGGGATTAAAGCAGAGAGACAGGTATAAGATATAGAGCTGATTTAATTTATTTCAACTATCAAGGGAAAGGTGATTGTGACACAGATTTTATAAACCGCTGTGCATCCTTTTGTTAGCGCCCATCAACTTATTTTACGGGATCCAAAAGCAAGATTTTCAGGACTATTGTATTCTACACACACACACACACACACACACACACGTTCTTTCCCTGATTTTGCCTGCCTGTGTTCATCTTCAGACAAGTACCAGGTACTGAGAGGCCACTGAAAAGATGATAAGATGTCAACCAATACATTGTATATCCAGGCCTTGACTTATTTTGAACAGAGGGAGAAAGTGGCAGAAGCATGAGTTGAACACAAATTTACTATTGACTTTCTTTGCTGAATGAAAAGAAATACTTGACTCCCCCTGTTTGCACTCAAGACCTGGGTAGTAGTGTAAAATGGTTCCAGACTGAGTTTTCTGAATTTGAATGTTGTCTAGACCGCAGGGGCCAGGAACAGGGGAAAAATGCATGCATACTGACAGTGACCAAAATTATTTTTGGCCCTTAATATCCTCTGGATTTTCATTACTTATGAGAAAAGTATTTTAAGTTCTACCAAAATAATTTGTGAAGTCTTTTAATATTAATTTAATGATGTGCAAACTACAATTGTTCAACTGAGTTTATTAATTATAAAAATAATAAGGATCAGAGAAATGAAATCAGTCCCTCAGAAAGTTTCTGGAGAAGACTAGTTTTTAACTATATTAAGAAGTATAGGGCTTCCCTGGTGGTGCAGTGGTTGAGAGTCCGCCTGCCGATGCAGGGGACACGGGTTCATGCCCCGGTCCAGGAAGATCCCACATACCGCGGAGCGGCTGGGCCTGTGAGCCATGACCGCTGAACCATCAAGTTTCAGATACAGCTTTGATGATCAGAGCAGAGCAAAGGGACAAAACAGAGTCCAGGGATGTAAACAGTATGCACGGGGTGGGGCAGGGGAGTTGTGCATGGGTGATTGCACTCAAATGACTAGGTTGGTACAGAGATTCTGAGTTATGGATTAATATAGAAGGAGGTAGGCTCAACTAAGTGATAACTTGGTGAAATACTAGATCTCATGTAAGAGCAATTAAAGCCACTATCAGTTCTTGATCAAAGATGGCACAAAGTAGTATTTAAGGAAGTAAGTCAAATAGTAGAAAAAGAGAAATTTGAGGCAGAGGAAATTAGCTAAGAGTCAGTTGCAATAATCAGTACACGAATGACTGAGCTCTCAAACTAGGCTACCACTGTCACATACTGGGTCTTTGGGCCACAAAAAAGAAGCCCACTTCAGGTAGACAAATGACAAGTGGCAGATAAATTAGAAAAAAGGTGCCCCTTCCTGCACACTGATGCAGACCCCAGCTGACGCACAGGCTTGGTGATGGGCCACAGGTCCCCTACGCACGTGGCTGGGCACACAGGTGACCTGGAGAAGGGGGAGGTGTCGTTGGTCAGATTGGAACGTCAGCTTGCGCTTGTCACCAATGCCACGTTCCTACTTTCTCCTATTCCCAACGAATTTACTAATTTTCACCACAGTTACCTCCTTTCCTTTAGGGTTTCAGTCTGATCTTACCATCTTCACGATCTTTTCACATTAGCTCAAACTGCTTCCCTGACATCGAACCATCTTGAATTTCTCAAATTTTTATAACTAGGAAACTGATACCCTTGAGTCATTTAATAACTCTGCCTGTTTGCAATGGTCCTGACTCTTATATTAGAAATTACTTGAGATTAAGGATTATGACATCTCTGCTTAGAGCTGTCAATGTATCTTTCCAGAATGTGCTTAATAAGTGTTCTTGACCGATTCTGTGTATGTTAATATTTCTGTATGTTCTAGTAGGGACTGTGTCCATTTTATTGCCCAGTTTTCTAGCTGGATTATTTCTAGATTTTCTTCATCAACACAACATTTGAGGTTTAGTGATTGCTGATCAAAGAAACCTGAACTCTCAGAAAATCCACTGCAATGTTTGGGGAGAAAATTTTCATGAACTTTGTTCACATATGTATCTTTCAAAAAGGTGATTTCCTTTTTTTAGTTCTCTTGTTTTGCATATTCTATATAAATGGTGTATAATTGCTAGTCAATAGACGTGGAGGATGGAAATTATAAATGGAGATTGCAGAAGTTTTCACTAGGAAATCATGGGGCCACAACCAAGAGAATCTTCCCATATCTTTCTTCTGTCAGGTATGGGGTCGACCAAGGGGTAACATTGAGGAATAGATGCTATAGGTTCTAAATCTTGCCTGTGCTGGCTTGGTGGAGATTACTGCCTCTGGACTCTGCTCCTGAGTTAGACCATGAGAATATTATGGAGGAGAAATAAACTTCATTTCTTTCTTTGGCCTTAGTTTCTGCTAAAATTCACTCATTTTTCTCCCAGGTGATTTGGATTCCTAAACCGTTTGAGGTTGTCAACAAAATGTATATTTTTAGGGATTTATTAATCCAGAACCTTCTGTCCCACTCCTCTGAATTTATAATAGATGCAACTGTTGTAGGCATGGCATTTTTCTGAGCTGGTATGTGCTGGGCTGCCAGATATGTACATTTCCATGACCCGGTGTGATGAACCTCAGCCTTTTATCATCTCTTCCTACATAGAAAATAATGTCCATGACAGTTAATTTATATGATAGAACCACAGGACCGGAATCCCAGAGCACTGGTGTCACTGCCTGG